CCACACAGACAGGCTAACAGTAGTCAGCCCATGGTTAGCCAAGGAAACCAGTCTTTAGGGACCAATCTTGTAGCAACTTCTGGTGTTGGTTTCTATAAAGATACTAGCAATGTTAGGCCTTTAGATCCCCGAAGCAGAGAAAGCAGTGGGGATATTGATATGCGAGTTTCACAGCCACCCTTACCAAAAACACAACCCGCACTTCCAAGAACTCAGCCATCATTACCTATAACTCACCTGCCACCCCCACCTTTGCCCAAAACTTTGGATCCACCAGCATCAGAGGTTGATGTCAATTTGCTCAAAGCCAGTCAGCCACCATTACCAAGTTCACCACCCTTACCAGCTAAACCTATCCAACCACCTTTACCAAAAACTCAGCCTCCATTGCCAAAGTCACCTCCACCACAATCACCAAGTCCCTTTGCATCAGCTAAGGATGATAGTGAAGGACAGAAAAGATTAGATAGTATTCGTGCACGACTTGCACATGGTGCTGGAGAATTCATTAAGCCAGGACAAAGAGGAGTGGCTGCTTCTCAGATGGAAAAATACAAGTTGAAGAGACAGTTAAGTGGTTCAAGAGATACAAAACCACACACCTCACCTTCTTTGACTAAAGAGTATTCAGGGAAAACTGATTCACAAGCAAAAGGAAAAGATCCTGTGTCAGTTCTTGATATACTTTTACCAGAAAATTCATCAAGTATGGAAACAACAGAAGACATTGCAAAAGATATACAGCTAGCACAGGAATCCTCAGCAAGAGACCCACGATTTAAACCACAGCAGGAACCACAACCTGCAAAGGACAAAATTACAAGCTTATCTCATGCTCGAGATCCAAGGTTATCAACAACTTCCTCATCATCAGTTACAAGAGATCCAAGGCAGCAGATGAATAGAGATCCAAGGCAAGATACTGGAGTCTTCCCAGGAAGAGAAAACAGGGGTGATATCAATAGATTTTCTTCAAATATAGTAAGAGATCCTCGACAAGATTCAGCCAAATATGCTCCTGTTGTTCCTCAACTGCCTCGAGATCCAAGGCAGGAGGCGGGTAGATTTACACCAGGAGCACCAAGTGGAGGTTGGGATTCCAGACATGAGCCTAATCAATATCCAGTTCCAGTATCAGGAATTAGAGGGCATTCTGGTTTCCCTAATCCACCAGTAGCTCCAAACAGACTTGAACCTGGCTCTTTTACTGGAGTTGCTAATGCAGGGCCCAGGGATCCTCGGCAGGAGACCAGAACTTTCCCAAACGTGTCCTTACCACAATATAGAGATCCACGAATGGCATCCAGAGTTGAAAGACCTCCAGGTGCTATGTGGAATCAACAACCAACTCCACCACCACCAGCTCCAATGAGCTTCACTCCAGTTCCAAGCTCAAGTGGACCAGTTGTTAGTAATGACCTTGTAGATCCTAGTCCTACCCAATCTGCAAGTGGTTCATTGATTGGCCAGACTTTTACTTGTTTAATGATGCGTGGGTTACCCCCTTTTGTCCATTCCAATCACATATATCGTTTCTTTTCTGATTATATATTGAGGGATATGTCACTAGAGCTGGATAATCATTATAATTGTAAAGGGACAGCCTATATTCATTTTCCTAGTCATGCTAGCGCTCGAGAAGCTCTAGAACAAATGAATGGGCAGCTTTTAAATGGCTATCCAATATCTCTCAGGATATGTACTGTTGGAATCTTGCGACAAGCTAAGAATATGTACGAACAGCTGAATAGGGATAGAGAAGCCCAGCTTGGTATTCCTGAAAGACCAAGAGGAAATGGAAATCCATTCTTTAAGCCAAAACCAAAAGAACCAAAAGAACCTGCACCCAAACCAGTGACACCCACCACTAATGTACCAACTCCAGCTGCTACTGAAAAGCCCTCTGTAGCTGATACACAAGTTTCTGAACCTGCTAATTCTGAGAGTGTTGGGTCGTCTGTGCCGTATTCAGAATTGTGTGGGGTTAAAGTTACTCCTAAAACATCAGTTGGAAAGTCAAACTTCAAGATTCCAAAGATTAAGAAAGCTGTGCCAGAATCAAAATCATCTAAGAGTGAGACAGACTCAAGCAAGGAAGGCACTGAGAAGAAAACCAAAGAACATGATAAAAAATCTGCTGGTCAAATTAAAGCTTCTAAATCAGCTGCTGATGACTCATCAGACTCTGATGAATTAATTAAACGTAAAACTCTAACAAAGAAGAACAGAAAATTCAAGAAGATAATAATTGAGTCAGATTCAGATTCTGACATAGAAGAGACAAAGAAAGCCCCTCAGAAGGAGACTACAAAGTCTGGTTCTGGTTTGAAAAATCATATGGATGAAGATGATGATGATGATGAATGTTTCATGGTTATTGATGAGACTGTTGTTTCTGACACAGAAGAGACTGAAGACTCAGAGGTAAATTCTTTGACAACAGATGATTCTAGTAGTCAGTCAAGAAGTACCAAAACAAAGGAACAAAAACAGACAAAAGTAAAGAAAACTAGAGGTCGTGCTACAAAAGCAAAGCCAAAGAAGAAGTTGGTTGAAACAAAGAGAGGCAAGAAGAAAGGACAGTTAAAGAAGGATCCAGTCCCTAGGAAAGGAAGGGGCAAGAAAGCTGTTGACAAACTTCAAGACAATACATTTAAATCAGAACTGGACTTGCATTCTGCTGTTGGAATGAAACTAACCCGCCAGACTCAAGGTGAACTAGAAGAATTGATCAAAGAAAAAACAAAGCTGAAGGTAGTCATCCCAGTACCACATAGGTATGTTGTTAATATTTTTGATGATGATAAGTTGAAGAAGCGGGGTGGCAGAAGACAGACTGTTGAAGTTCATTCCAGTGTTGCTGTAGCAGCCAAAGAGCCAGAAGTGCCTGCTGTATTGGAAAAGAAAGTAAAAACTGTTGAAAAAGCTACATTAGATGTATCTGTTGTGGTTGAGAAATTGAGTGTTGAGCAATCAGAGGTCTTAAATTACCGACAGATCAAAGCAAAGATTTTCCAAAAAACATTGCATGTTCTTGCAATACCAACAGCTAGAAAAGGAAAGAAAAGAACTCTTTCACATACTGGAAATAGTGGAGATAACAAAAGACAGAAATTTGGATCTTCCGGTTTTAGTAAAGGACAACCAAAAGAGGATAGTAATATCAGCAAAGAAACTGGAAAAAGGCATAGAACTACACCATCAAAAGGTCAGCCAACAAAGAAGTCAAAATTGGACTCCAGTGCAGAAAAACAGTCCACATCTGAAGCTGCAGGAAACTGGAACAAAGTACTCACAACTACAGATTTGTTTGACAGTAACACATCCTCAGATGATTTACCTGACTTGACTCAAATAACACCAAGTTTGTTAGATGTTGATCCAACAATCACCAGTGCTCTGCCAGATGCAACTGTCCTGGCAAGTGTTCTCAGTCCCCCACATGTTACAAGTCAGACTTCTGAAGGTAGTTTCCTTAGTGGAGTTGACTCTGATGGTGATAGTTCACCTGGGAAACTACAGATTGTTGAAAGTGATCAGATAAGTAAGGATTACCAGCTTTTAGATGAGATAATCAGAAATGATAGTAAAGATAAAGAAAAAGACTCATTGGAAGAAATGATTGATCAAAATGCAGAAAAGAGAAAAGTTGATGCAAAACCAAATCAGGATGATGCACAAAAGGTCAGTAGTGAATCGAAAGTAGATAGTGTAAGTAGCAGTGAGCAAGAAAAAGCCGGAGATATATTTGATCAAGTCCAAACTAGTTCTGCTGTAGTTGATGGTAAACATAAAAGACAAGATAGTTCTTCAAGCAATACAAGTTTGATTAGAAATACAGATGGTGAGGAAGAAAAAGAGGGTTTACATCTATGCTTGTCAGAGGGAGGGAATGATGAGACTTTAGGACATAATGAAGAAATTGATGAAGGTGATGATACTGCAAGTGTTGGCATGGTGAGCACTAGCAGCTTGGTTGATGATGCATCTATTATCTCCAGTGAAGGCCGAGAGTTAAAGACTCCAGACTCCGGGGCATCAAGAAAGACTAAGAGATCAAAAATGGTGCATATACCCCCAGAGTTGAGAAGGGTAACCAGGGGATCTGTAGTGGAACCTCTGTTCATTGAAGTGATTGAGTGGGATGATGGAGGTGTAGTTGATTTGTTCCAGTGTGACCTTTGTGATTATGTGGGCAGGCATATGGCATATCATTTGGTCAATTTCCACATTGAAAGAGAAATGCCATGTGAATTCAAGAAAGAAGATTTTCCCCCTGTGATTAAGGACCATGTAGGACCACCAAAGGTTCCAGAAGACAAGAAAGATGTATCACTAGATTTGTCATGGATACCAACAAGTATGACATTTGAGAAAAGTGTTACCTGTAATGAATGTGATTATATATCAAACAGTCGATTTGACTTGGTTTACCATGTATTGGAACACAAACCCATGGCAGCACATTGTGTATATCACTGTCGTCTTTGTAATTATATGTCAGAACACTTGGAACATTTTTACAATCATGTAAGTAGTCATACTGGAGAGTACAGATACAGATGTGATCTCTGTGGTGAGAGAACATACAAAAAATCGCTATTACTAGCACATCATAAAGAATGTCATCATAATCAACTTGAAAAGTTTTCCATATCTGAAATGATTCTAGAAGATGGTTGGCCATATATTCATGTATGTAAAACTTGTATGTTTGTCAGAATAGCTCAGAAGGCAGCAGAAGATCATGTACAAAATCGCCATAATGGAAAAGCAGATATTCACAAAGCAAACATGACTAGACCTGTTATTTTATATTCAGAACAATGGAAGTCAAAGGGGGAGATGGAAAACATTGGTCCACGTGGAAAGCCAAAGGGAAGGAAGAGAAAGAAAGGCAAACGAGGTCCAGACCTAGAAGTGTTTGTAGGGGAGGGAGGTGAAGAGGAAATGGAGGAAGAAATAGAAGTGAGGGCAAAACAGCTGGTAGATAGAATAGC